ATATTTTTTTTTTTTTTGTTATACAATTTTCATATATGAATACAATAGCCTCGGCAAGACGAGTTCAATGGTAGGTCACTCAACTAGAATGATGCTAGACGAGTCCAATGATAGGTCACTCAACTAGAATGATTAAAGCATCATCTTTTATTGTTTTCAAATCCATAATGATAAGACTAAATTTGTATATGTATATATCTATATATAATTTTTTTGGAATTTGACGAATTTAGTGTACATTATTTTTGAATTTTTTGCCTTTTCTAAGCATGTGTATCTTATGTTTCTACTGATATGATTGTTTCATACTTTCATCTCATGTCATAACTAGGCACAAACAATTTGCATGATTAATAAGCCTCCTTTGTCCTTTCTTCAAATCTTATAATGTGAGTTTAACTAATTGTTCTATACTTCATGTTTTCTCACAGCAAGTGCTTCTAGTTTTCATGACCAAAAATAAAAAAAAAAGTAGTCTATCAGGTCATGATTCATGAATATATGCAAGTCTATAAAAATGCTCACCATAACATCTATTGCAAATTAATTTATATATGCTCCAAAATTTGGTGCAAATTAATTCCAACAATTCCAAAACTAAGGAATAAGAAGTATAAGATCTATTGACCAAATAATCAGGACCATCCACAATTGTATGTTATGCATAACAAACCACACAAAATTTCTACTACTCATTCTCCTCACATATCTATATAAATATAAAAAGGTTTGACATTTACTTGAAATAGTAGTAGAAATCCCGCCTAAAATTTCAGTATTACTAAAATAAGTAATATTTTTTTTGAAAAAAATTAGAATATCCCGTCTAAATGTGTTTTGAAAATTTTTGAAAATAAAAATAAATCAAAACATTTAAAGGAAGAAATCACACAAAGATATTTTTTTAGATACATTCTATCTTGGCTAATGGAATTTGTAATGAATAAATAGAAATAAATCTTATGTACATTTTTGCCTAATTGGATTTTGCATTTCCGTACCCATACAACTTTCAATATTTATGCGTTATTTTTATTTTTATTTTTATTTTTTGAAATCCATTTTTGCTCTTTTTTCTTTTTCTCATGAAATATCAATATTGTTTTATTTTATTATAAAATCTAATAGTTTAATATTTCTTTGTTGTTTACGTATAATGTATTATATTGACCATTTTTTTTATATCCAATATATGACATCAATATTGTACATATAAAATAGTGAATAAATAATTATTGTAACTGTATGATAAAACTGAAGCTTATAATAATTAATATTGATTTAAAAATAATGACAGTACAAGAAATTATGAAATTTCAACAAAAATATATTCCTATAGAAAACCAATAACAATTTCAATAGATATTCCAATGCTATTATTGCCATCGTAATTTTTCATTGGATCTTAACAAAAATTCCAGCAAAAATATTCTATTGGATGAGTATTCTATTAGATTTTGACAATTCCAACATTGAAATATGGGTGAAAATAAAGATTTCAATGGAAATTGCATATTCTAATAGAAATTACTACAGAAATAAACCTCTAGAAAAATAGCCGTTGAAACAGTCAAGTTCGTTAAAAAATCCCAATGGAATATTTTCATTCGAATTTTTGTTGAAATCATTCCAATGTAAGCTATACCATTGGAATATTTATTAGAATTTCTATTGAAATATATTACATTGTTTCGTTGGAATAAATCAATTTTTTAGTAGCGTAAAGTTATCTCATAAAATGAAATTTAAATGTCAACTAGATAAATATTCACAATATACAAAATAGTTAAACAAATATCAACCAACAAGTATACATAGATTTAGAAGGATAAATTAACGAGTCGTTTATCGAACAACCATTTGAATTATTGTCTGAAAAAAGAAAATAGTCAGTATATTCATAATATATATTGTTATTAATTATAATAGTGAAACAAACTTCGCTCAGTCTTAATTCGAGCTAACACAACCGGATCTACTTTCTTCTACTTCGAACGGTCTCCAAACCTACAAGAACTCAACACCGGAAATGGGGTTTCTTCTACCTCCTAAAATATAAAATAATTAATAATTTATCAATTACCCATAAAAATTAAACTTTGCAACTTGTAAATAATATGTACTACTTCCATTTTAAATTAAATATAATTTCATAGATTTAATTTTACTTACAATTTGATTTTTTATTAGAATACTTATCACAATTTTCAAAATTTAACAACTTTAATTTAAGAATAAAAAAAATTATTGTATAGGATATTAATGAAGTAGAGAGAAAAAAAAATAACTAGATGTGCATATATAAATACTCTATCCATCATAGTCCTGACATAATATTTATCTTCAGAGTATAAATATAAAACAAGTATTATAGGAATTTATAAATTATAAAAAAATAAAAAATATATATAAAAAATATTAAATAATATTATTATAGTATTCAATATTTGTTCACGATCTAATGCATGTGGATTATCATTAAAAAAGTTTGGATTTACAAGAAATATTATATATAGATAAAAATCTCTCTCTCTATATATATATATATATATATATAAATGTATGTATTTACTTGAAATAGAAACTAAAATTCTGCCTAAAAATTTTAAAATTACTAAAGTTGGTAAATTTTTTTGAAGTTTTTCAGAATATCCTAACTCTATAAAAATAATTAATCAATTTATGGTAAAGTGAGCGATTTTATTTCAGATATCTGATTGTCATTTTTATTTTCGGTAGATAATGTATTGTTATTGATAAATGTCTGATTTTATGGTACAAAGTGAGCGATTTTATTTTGGTATGAAATATTTAAAATTAAATGGTATGAACTGTTTTTCGTATGGATAGAAGTGTATTTGAAATTTTTGAAAACAAAATAAGTGGTATGAATTTTATTTGGTATGGGTATGAGATTTGAAGTTTAAGTTGGTTTGTTATAAAATCAAGATGATACGACTCTCAAATTTTATTATATTCCTGTAATAACCTGTCATAAGATATTGATGATAATTCAGAAAATTGATATGTATTCCTCTTGAAATTCAAAAAGATCTTTGAACAAATATTGATTAATAAATTAAAATTGTAATTTAATTCTAGATAATTAGTTGATAAATTTGAATGATAAGGTAAACGACAAAAAATCTAAGAAATTGTGAAATAATAATATATATTGCTCAATAATGAAAACCAGTACATTGTTCAACTTCATCTGAAAACATCGAAACTAAAACTGAGAGGACACGCACAACGGCGGCCTAGAACCTCAAAATACTACGACATGAAAACACAAGAAACCAGAAAACTGAAAAAAAACTCTCCACTGCCAAAGCCAACAAGAAAACTAAAGCTAAGCCAACATACTAGCATAATCAGAAAGCAGAAATAAAAAAGACCATAGCAAATGAAGAAAGAGATAAACCCTAGGATTCTATGGCAGCATAGAAAACTCCAGCCACTGCATGTGTGCAGTCTTGACAATTTGTGCAGCAGAGAGGTTTGTCTTTTGAAAAATCCAGAGGTTACGAGCTTTCCAAAGCCACCACAACATAGGTGGTCAGTTGGATCCTGGGTGCAGCAATATCTGATTTAGCCACAGAACAAAGTTGGACCACCAACATCTGAAAGAAGAAGTGAAAGATTGCAGACCATCCTATTGAAGTGGGGCTATATCCCAAACTCTGCATGCTTGGGACTGGTAAGCAAAATATGCTCAATAGTTTCAGTTTCACACCCACAAGATTGACAGATGGTATCCAAAGTTAGACCTCTCTTCACCAAGTTACATTTCACAGGTAAGGAACCAGTAAGACATTTCCAAAGGAAATGTTTAATCTTCCAATTACTTTGAAATTCCAACACTTGGTGTAAAGATTACATTTCACAGGTAAGTGGAATAGTCAATTATTTATAGTTTATTAAATTACTCAACTACTTAATTTTTTTGTTTTGGATAGTTTATACAAAAATAAATTCATTTTAGTTAATAAAATAATTAAAGTTTTATAGTTATACTTATTATTCATAGATTTTTAAACATATGATAATTGTTTACTAAAATATTTATTTTATGGAATCACATTGTAGTTAAACTGAATTTCTAAATAAATTTTAGAATGACACTTATTTTGAAATAAATATAATTTAATTTATTATCAGTTATGTGCACCTTACAAGTTGTGTACTAATTTTAAATAGACATGATTTATGTAATTTCGCACATTTTTAATTTCACATAACATTTTCAATAAATTAATATAGATAAATTGTATTACATATTCATTTTATATTTCTAATATATAAATATTATTTAATAAACAAATTTGATTAATAAATATTAATAAATGTCTCTTACCCGTGCATCGCACGAGATTCGTACTAGTACAAAAAATCCTCTTGAACATATGTTACCTCAAATAATAATTTAAAAAAAAAAATATATCAAAATAGATATGATAAAAGACATAGCCCAAAGATGGAAACGATCCTGAGTGGTCAACACAACTGGTACAATCTCCTTAATAAGACGTCGCACAACCCCAGGTCCAAATTCAATAAGACGAGAGCCCGAACTCAATTGAGTTCTTTTTTTCCTTAAAAAAAAAAAAGAATTGCGGGTATCTATATATATATAATAAGAATTACCATTTAACAAAAATAGTAGCAAAAAAATAGGAAAGAATTTAATGCAATCTATAAATTGTAACTTTTATTATATTTTTATTTTTATCTTTAAAAAATCATACAACATTAAATGTTACATTAAATTTTAGGCTTTAATTTGTTTATTATTTAAAAATTTAAGCTAAGATCTATTAAGTGTGCATTTTTCATTTTTATTATTTTTCTTAAAAAACAACGAAAAACATTAAAATCTCAGTCTCTATATTTATAAAATCTCAATTCAAAAGGTAATAAAAATTTTAGATATCGGTTTTTGTATTTATTCATTTCAAAAAGAAATGTTGAATGCTATTCTTTAAATATCATTTTCCACTAATAATCACAATTTTTTTCATTTGGAACGTGTGATAGTATATTGTTTTTTCTCAATACTTTGTAGTGTTTAAAATATCACTTTGTAATGTTTATCAATATTTTGTTTATTAATCTATTGTTTTTTCTATACTCGGTTTCAAAAGATAAAATAATTTTTAAATTCTCAGTCTCAATAATTGTGCATTTAAAATAAAAAAATTAATGATAATATATTATTTGTTAATAGTACACAATTTTAAAAACTCCATTATAAATTGTATGTTGATCTCCAAATCATTTTATAAATACAATCAACTTTGTTAAATCTCCACAAAAATATGGTAAAACAAAATGAGACGATCAGCTTTGTATGAAAATAAAATAAATAAAATAAACCAATATGAAGTTCACAGAAAATTAACATAATGAATAATTTGTATAGTACACGGATCTAAGAAATAATACTCACGCGTATTCTAAAATTCAAACTTATAGTTATCAGCATCTTCTGGAAATTGAATAATATATTATAGAGAAGATTATTTTAAATAATTTTAGACATGCTTTATTTATAAAATAGTTTAGAAAAATTTTAGGTGAATCACATCTTTCAATAATAATATATAAAATTTTAGATACTTTACATATGTCATATTATATAATATTTTAGGTGTTTTTAATATTTTAAACATATATTTTTTATGTTATTTTATACAAGATAATTTAATATTGTTTACAACTGATATACGATAAATTAGGTCACATATTAACTTTACATCTTAATTACAATTATAAGTTAATATTGTTTACCCTCATATTGTTTACCCTTGCATCGCACGGGCTACACACTAGTTGGAATAATAGAAGTACAAACGCATTTATTTTGCAAGAACGCAAACTTGCGTCAAAATCAGGAGAGAGAAACTCAAAAACCTATTTTGGGTTTGAGTTTGCAGTACCATTGGAGAGATTTTTCCCCATTTTTTGGGTTTTGCTGCTCGGTTGAAGAAGGTCTAAAATAATGGGTTAAGTTAAATTATAAATATGATTCTAGTATTTTGAAATAGTTTTGTGGGTAAAAAAGTTACTTTTACATATCAAACAGCTAATTACTTTTCGATCACTTTGTATAATCAACTAATATTAGTCAGTTAGTCAAATTTACTAATTTAATCCGTTGTTTGCTTTCTGTTATTATTTAATCACCTTTTTTTTATCCTTATGTTTTACCTTTTTTCATCCTTTAAATTTAGTGATGTTTTTTCCTCTCGTTTAAACATACGTATATTGATATGTACTAATACGAACCCGTGCAATGCACGGGGTGTAAAATTTGAAAGAATAATATAACCTCACGTGCATTAGGATCGAAATTGAAATCATTAAAATACATAGGAACATTGTTGAATCATAAAAAGTTCGGTAACAATCATATATTATTAAAAACCTCCTTGTACACAACATTATGAGTTTGATTATTTGATAACTCCTCATTATCACAAACTAATATTTTCAAAAGAGACAAATCCTAAAAATCAAACTAATATTTTATGATTGGTTATATGAATAAGGCTACCTGTTTTTGGTGTTCTTTTCATTCATTTTCATTCAAACAATCCGATGATTTGTATAATGAAATCCGAATCTTAAGCCGAAATATTTAAAAAAGAGTTTTTAAAAATTGAAAAGTCAAGGCAATCAGTTCAGATTAATTAAAGTTCAAAGAATATCCGCTCCTTGAAATAAAGACGTGTGCTATCATTAATCAAATATCCAGTTATTGATATAGAGTGGTTACCAAAAAATATAACGCGATAAGGACGCTTCATGGAAATATCAATGGGATAAGGTCATAACAGATCGCTATACATTTTAACGATAAAAGCTCAGATGGAATGATTTATGATAATTATGTCGTAATTAATGAATTAATTAGATGTGTGAAAATGACATAATTAATGAGAAGTGTGAAAAGGATATAATTAAAGAGAAGTGTGAAAAGGACAAAAACTTACCAGTTTTCAAAAATATTTAATGCAAATCCAACATTGACCATAATTTGACCTACTATTTTGGATAAATGTTAATTCTTATTATATAAGTATAGATGAGCATATTGATATCATTTAAAATATAGAACAATTGTTGCAAAGCATTTCAAATCATGATAGTGATGATCATAGGCGAAAGGACATAACTAAACCTTCTTAGTTTCTCATTTACACATATACGAGAATATTGTTCAAATCCCAAACAGGGCGTTCCATTGTAATTTATAATCCATATATGGTATTGCTTTCATCAGGTAAAGCGCCACTTTTTATTTTCTCTCTCCATTTATGGTGAGCAATGAAAAAAATTAAATGGAAATAGAAGCATATGGTATGTCCAACCTCATTCCTAAAAAATTAGTGGAATCTATCTCTCGATTCCTAATTATTCTCTATATAAAAAAATAAAAATCCACATTTAAAACCATTTTCGCTCATGTCCTTCTCTTATCAGCTCTCAATATTTTGTCTTTCGAATTATTCTCATAATAATTCAATTCAATTGCAAAATTGAGTCAAGTGTAAAATATCAACCACATTAAAATTGAATTAAAGAAAACCCCAAAAGTAATCACTAAATAAACATTTAATATACCATAATTTTTCTTATCAACTCTCAAAAAAAGAGTAAGTTTATATCACAAATCAACCAAACTGAGAAATAAATAAAAACATCCACTAAATAAACCATAAATATTCACTAGATCGGAAAAAAAAACCATAAATATTCACTAGGTAAACAAAAAAAGGCAAACTACATTTTTTTTTATTAATGCAACATAATCGAAAAACAAACTCTTCATAAACAATATTGGGGGTGTATTTTGAGTTTTCTATTGGTTGACTATTAGTTTCAATGGATTTTTTTTTATTTATTTTATAGTCACTGATTTTCTAATAAGATTATAAACCATTTTTAAATGAAACAAAAAGGAAAAAAAAAATTGTTGAATTTATTATTTTTTTGCGGCTTAATATTTGTATATTTGTAGTTTATTTGTAGATTATCTTATGTAAACCTTTTAGTTTATTTGTAGTTTATCTTATGTTTGTTACATTATTTTTATAGTTTATTAAAAACAAACTTAAAACTTTTATTTTGTAGTTTATTTGTAATTTATCTTATGTAAACCTTTTAGTTTATTTGTAGTTTATCTTATGTTTGTTACATTATTTTTATAGTTTATTAAAAACAAACTTAAAACTTTTAATTTTTCTCAAGTTTATTATCTATTTTTTTACTAAATCACGAAAAACAAATTGGCCAAAAATAAAATAAAATAAAACTAAANAAAAAAAAAAAAAGAAAAAAAAGTGTCCAGCCATAGTTAGTTTAGTTGCAGGTATACTATGGAGCTCTCATACAACATATATCAACCTCTGTTCCTAATTCTAACCCTAACGCCCAAAAATTCGTCGTGAGCAACCCTAATTATAACATAGAGCATTTTTATAACTTAGATCTACCTCTGTCCCTCGCACCGCCGTTGGTGGACTCCAAAATCGGAGCCATTGAAATCGCCGCCGATAACTGGGTCCGACAACCCAACCCTCAAACTTGGTCGCGGCCCGAATCTATACTCGACGGACCCCAAAAATCGAGTCAGCGACCCGAATCGATGTCCGCCAAGCTTGGTTATTGTACCTCTCTCCGGTGATTGCCATTACGGCCGATCTAAGAAGAACAGAGAACAAGATACGGGACGGGAGATTGTATAGATATGAAGTGTTGGTGTGTGCGTGTGGTTCTGTGAAGTGATAAGTAAAGAGAGAAGAGAAATTGAACGAGTTTAATTGGGATGGAGAAGATGAATACACTGGAAAAGTGTTATTAAGAAACTAAAAATCTCGTTCAAGTGGAAAGGTAAAGTTTGATTTGGTAACAAAAATATTTTATCGTCAATTAGGAAAAAGAAACTTAAGCCGCCGTCCACTGGGTAATTTTCTCATGATCATAATTGAACGAACTGGTGCCAATTGAACGATAAACACAAGGATACGAATGTTGTGGCCCATTCCAAAGGGCCACTCTTTTCTTTCTATTTATGGGCTAGTGTTATTTCGAAGCAATGGATCTACGGCGTTTCATGGGCCCTTAGATATTACATATAGCCCAAATAGTTCAAGATTCAACACTTAAGTCTTAGGTCCAAAAGATATGGGCCGACACTCTCAAATGTTTCCCATGTATCCACCACTCACCTGCTGCCACATAACGACAATTAAAAAGACAAAAGCAACGTCAGTTACCATTACCAATCCCCACGTTACCAAATTTGTACGTATCCACGTTATTTTCGACGTGGCTCTGTTAATCTAAAAATGTACTATACATTAACGATTCCATCTACTCCCCGGCCAATTAAAATTCTAACTAATCTATACTTATATTAAAAGGGGTACTATTTACCAAATTAAGTAGTCAGAAAAGTTAACAGCATTTATTGCATTATTATTTCCGTATTATATTATATGAAAGGATATTCTATTTACTACATTTATTATCCAGAAAAGTCAACTGCATTAAATGTCATTACTATTTTGGTATTATAATATTTTATTTATTTAATTGATTTATTTATTTGTTTTATTTTAAAAAGGTAAGTATAATAAAAAGATTTTAATAATAAAAAAATTAAATACCAAATAAAAATGTACACTTTGACTTATTTGATTATATTTGGTATTTGATTATACCAAATATATTCCTATTTAGTATATACATTAAATACTTACTAAAGTATTTATTTGTTTTATTTGTCAAAGTTAAGTATAGATTTGTTTATATTATCAAATCATAAAAAATATTAAATCCATATTGTAAAAAAAAAATTCATATAATTTTATAACAATTCTACTACACTATTTAACAATATTCCTTTTTTATTATATAATAAAATAATAATTAAATATTATATGGTGAACAACAATAAGTAAAACTGTTACTTTCTCTTATATCAAGGGATAAATTTATATGCTAAAATTAAATTTTTATTAGTATAAATGTTTTAGTGAGATAATATATTAATTATTTTACAAGCTAGCCCTAACATGCTCATATTTAATGTTTTAAAAGATGTAGAAAAAAAACTTATAATAACTCTATTGTTTTTTAGACTTAAACGTTGATTAAAAGAGGTAAAAATTCCTAATTTTTTAGACTTAAACGTTGATTAACACCATAGATTGAGAGTTTATATTTAGTAAAATTCCTAATTGTAATAAAAAAATTAATTTTTGCTATATTTTAGAATATCTTTAAATTCATTATAAAAAAAAAAGAAAAAAAACTACAATGAAAAAAACAAGTCAGCTATATATCGATTTGTTGTACTCCTCAAATCACATTCACAGTTTGGCTACAAGGAAATGAAACTCATTGATTAAATATTATTTTGTCAGTAGTCTTAATGTACAAGAGACTTTAAGACTCCACTTGAATATTATAAAATTTTTATTGAACATTGTACAATTTCTTGCGTATTATAAACTTTTATTGAATATTGCATCTTATAATATAATATTCTCCAAATAAATATATCTCGCGGGTCACGTACTATATATATTCCGTACATTTTTCTTTATTCATGTATATAATTATAAGCCTGGATAAATAGCTTTAAAATTGTGCACCCCGTGCATCGCACGGGCTCTGTACTAGTTACATTTAATAGTTGTATGGTTTAATTTGGAATATAATATGATCCGAATTTATAAATTACAATCATGTATTAATTACATTAGTGATTATCTAATTAATTTAATTATTGGTTATCTAAAGGTAGGATCCAATTATTGTATGAGTGATTTGTATGCAATTAGATTCAATCATATCGAATTGAAAATTACAATAAGTGATACACAGGATATCAGTGGATCATGCCTAAAATATAGTTCAAATTACTTAGAGTCCTTTTAGGAATGGATAATCTATGTGATTTGTTTCAATCCAATAATACAAATTAAATATATAATAAAATCAACTATAAGTTTTAAGATGTATTGATTCGCCAATTTTAAAAATAAAACAAAATTCACGGTTGATTTATGCATTTTTTAAAAATTGTTAATCAGATATTGATTTTCTTTATATTTAATAATCATCGATAGGAATAAAATAATTGTAAAAAAAAATTTTAACATTCAAATGACATAAAAAAGGAAACAAAAAAATCATCATCACACATACCTAAAATCACACATTGTATTGCATTCATTCAAAATTGTCCGAATTTATCTATATATAAAAAGGTTGTTGTTTAAATCATTTATAATAACTTTTGACCAAATAAATAATTCATTTGGCATACTATATATAGATAATTTAATAAAACCAAAAGAAACCGTTTCAATTACCGAAATATATGCTTTGCAATTTAGTAGATTTATACTTTCAATTAGTTTATTATTTCAAAACGTGATTAAGAGTTTGACTTCAAACTAAACACTTGAAATACATGTTTAAAAAAAAACGTGATTAATGATTTCTGTTAGAGGTTTGTGAGTTACCGAAATACATGCTTTTAAATTTGTATGATACATATTTTATTTAATTATTTATAGTACAAATTTCTATAAAAAAAATCGATTCATATTCGGTTCCATCTATAAAGGATTTTGTTATTATTTAAGAATTATTAACAAATTAGAGCTTTGTTTGGCTGTTCGAGACTTAGTATGTAAATAAATTAGGCATATTATGTTTATTTGAAATTTATTTGGTTGTTCGTGAATATCTATTATTATATAAAGAGATAATCCAAGAACTTTAAAATAGTAACTAAAAAATAATTAGGAATTCCGCCTAGATATTAAATAAACAATAAACATGGTAGTGTGTTTGAAAATTTTTGAAATATCCCGCCTAAATGTGTTTTTGAAAATTTTGGAAAAAAAATTAAATTTAAACATTTAAAAGAAAATTTCACATATAGATTTTTTTTGGATACATTTCATTTTATCTTAACTTCCATATAATCTACCACATCCTGAAAAAGTATCTACTTACAAGGAACAAATAAAATATTAGACTTAATATAATTAATATTGTCATAAAATTGTATTTATATGATTTTGTTTTTAACTTTTATGAGATAGGATAAATTCTGAAAATTGAATAGAATGGATATATGGCACAATATTTATTTTAAATTTATTTATATATTTTTAAATTAATTACATTAATAAATAATATTAATGTAAATTAAATACTTATCATTATATAAAAAAATAATAATTTTATACGTGCTATAACTAATAATAATGAAACTATATGAAATTAAATTTTAAAATAAAATAATATTTAAATTATGATGAATAATAATAAGTATTTATGTATAAAAAACAAGTATATGTTTCAAATATTATTTACATTAATATAAAATGGTTTAAGGCTAATACATTATTAAAATAAGGTTTTAAGGTACAAGTTCGATCGTGCATCGCACGGGATGCTTTAGTAGTTTTGTACGAAATAAATTAAGCATCAAAAGATTGGTCAAAGCAGAATCAAACTCAATATTTCATTAACTGATTTTTAACATATTTTATGTATAAATTTATAATTATTTTAATAAATTCAATCAATGTGTATTAAAATTGGTTAAATAAGCTGTAAAGCCGATTAAACCGCATGGCTGATGGCCAACTTCCCAAATCTTCTATATCCTCGGTTGGTAAAGACGAGAGTTGACACGTGTCGCCTTCAGACCTCGTCATCTTTGAGAGGTTAGCAAATATCGACATTAAAATTATGCAAAAAATAATCTCCAAAAGCATAAATTAAGAAAAAAGATAAAAGCAATTAGATACAGTAACATTACTGCAATAAAATAGAACATCGGAAAATTTGCATTTTCACAGTTTCCGATTCCAAAACACGGTGAAGAAGAAAAAACGAGAAAAAAATGGCTCTAATCCCAAGACCCTTCGCCGCCACCCGATCCCGACTCAGGGACTTCCTCCTCCTCCTCTCCGCCCTTCTCTCCGCTGCCCTCCTCCTCTCCCTCCACCACCTCAACCACCCCCCCACCGCCGCCTTCTCCGCTGCCGACCCCTCCTCCTCCTTATCCTCCCTCGCCCCGCCGCTCTCCCCCGATCAAATCCTCTTAGCCGTCGCCTCCTCTGCCGCCTCCCTCCCTGCCCGCGCCCCTTACATCCGCCTCTGGCGCCGCCCCATCGCCCACCTCAACACCACCTTCCTCTTCCTGGACCGCGCCGCCCCCGATCCGCCCCACTCCCTCCCCCCGATCGTCGTCCCGCCCGGCGCCGCGTCCCTCGCCGCCGGCTTCCGCATCGCGCGCGTCGTCCGGGACGCCGTCGCCCTCGATGTGCCCGGAATCCACTGGTACGTCTTCGGAGACGACGACACCCTGTTTTTCCCCGAGAATCTTGTGAGGATTTTGTCCAAATACGACCACAATAGGTGGCACTACATTGGGTGTGGCTCTGAGAGCTACGAGCAGAATGAAAAATTCTATTTTGATATGGCGTTTGGGGGCGGAGGGTACGCCATTAGCGCACCCCTTGCTCGGGTTTTGGCTCGGGTGCTCGATTCTTGCCTCGCAAGGTACCCTCATTTGTACGGAAGCGATGCTCGGGTGTTTGCTTGCATGGCCGAGCTCGGTGTCCGGCTGACAGTCGAGCCCGGGTTCCATCAGGTAATGGGGCTGCTCGGCATTTTTCCGAGTGGATTTAGTGAATGGATATTGTGATGGTCTCTGTTGTTAGATTTTGAATTTTCACTTATATTGGTGGGTTTTAGGCTTTTTATGTTGTGAATTGTGATATGGCTATGGAGTCTGAAATTGATATGCAATTATTGCTGTTATGTTGAATTTGTCTTAGATTATTTTAAAATGTGAGGTCTTGGTCTGACTTTCATGTGTTTATTGTCTAACAATTCTTCTTATATATGCATGTCTGTTTATTTTGCAAAGTTTGATTTGTGTCGCATAGCTTAGCTGCCATAGTGTAAAATTATTTCTTTTTTACTTTTACCATTTTGTTTCGATAGTTAATGAGTGATTCTTCCCTCTTGTCTTCTTTAAAGTTTAATAGTTTATCTTATTTGGATAGTTATGTTGAGCATTGCTGCGAATGCTACCCTCTGATAGTTTACTATCGAGATTTTGAGTGTAGTAGATGATGAGATGCTTAAGTAATGTGCAGAAGCTTTTATGCGTTAAAATCTCACGGTGTTCCAAGTAAACAATATGCATTCTCTGCAACATATTAGAAGATGTTTCTATTATTTTTTTTCCTTGCATTCCTCTGTCTAGGTGACCTCTTCACATTATTCCCAATCTCAGATATAAATTGAATTAAGCAGCTAACTGATGGGTAGATGATTGTAGTTATGACATTTCTAGGCAAATGTTTTTAATAAAAAAAAAAAAATGTTCTTTCGTGTTTTCAGGTTGATATTCGGGGAAATTTATTTGGATTTCTTTCTGCTCATCCGTTATCACTAGTGGCCTCACTGCATCACATAGATGCAGTCGAACCCATCTTTCCCGGTATGACCAGAATTCAAGCTTTGGAACATCTTTTCAATGCTGTTCACGTTGACCCACCTAGGATTTTACAACAAACTGTTTGCTATGACAAACGCAATTCATTAACGGTTTCAATCTCTTGGGGCTATGCCGTTCAAGTTTATGAAGGAAATCAGCTTCTTCCTGATGTTCTCTTGCCTCAGAGGTCTTTCAGGCCATGGAAACGAGGGAAAAACGCCCCTTCAATAACCCGTTATATGTTTAAAATAAGAGATTATCCAAGTGATCCATGCGAAAAGCCTGTTATTTTCTTTCTGCATACAGTTGCTGCTAATACAACTGGTGTCGGGACCAAATATGTTAGACATGATAAAGCTGGAAATTGTCCTAGAACAAAAGCTGTTGAGAAACTGAAAAGGGTCAGTGTTTTCTCACGCAGTCTTGAGTACGATGTTGAACAGGTACTACAATCTTACATGACCCGTTTTCGTTAATTTAAGGTTCTTTTTTTCTTGTGATGTGTATTTTATGTTTATATGTGTAGATGAAGGAACTTCGCCGGCCTTGCTGTGATATTACGTCATCTTCTGATGAAACGATGACTGTCCAAATTAGGAAATGTGGGATCTATGAACTCGTTGCTATGCAGAATAAAATTTGATCTTTGAATAATGAGTGTGTTATATATCTCATTGGATTCAATATCGTGGATCCTCTTGACTGACAAGATAGGTTTTCCATGATACGCAAACCTACTATTATTGGTAAGTTTATTTTTCAGTTTCCAAATTACAATTTTCTGATAAGCATACAAGTTTTGATTACGCAAAATTAATCTATGATCACCAAAAAGCTCTTCTATATTTCATCAATTGCTGATTTCAGTACACGATAGTCTCGCTAGCTATTTTCCTTGAGTATAATGAGTAATTACCAATTTGTTTGGATTTTTCATTGTCTACTTCGGCCGGAAAGTGCTTAATAAAAGTTTGCATAATTGTCTCATATGGACGTCTTCTGTTAAACCTTGGATATTATAGCTGTGGAGCTTATAAGATCAATACCTTCTCTTTCTGATCGTTTTGGTAGACATATAGCTTATTTTGCTTCAAAGATCATCTTACATTTGTTGACCTGTTTGTCTTGTACCTTCTCTCAGACAGGTGTATGTATTTCGGTTTTTTCTAATCCGAGTGTCCATATTTTATAAGCAAGTTGCTTCTTGTGGTTTTCTATGCGATTGAGGTCTGCACATTTTTGTCAGGACTGCTGATCGAGGCTGTTGAGCTGCCACAAACAATTCTACAAGTAAGTTTATTGCCAAGGACACGAAGTCCGATGATTTTCGCTCAGCTGGCACGAACCAACGTACTTTCGGCTGAAAAATCCCGAGCATGCTTTCGGACCAACAACAGTATATGCAAAATTTAGAACAGAAAATGAATGCCTACTTCATGGACCATTACAACTTGTTGCTGGTTTTGGAATTGATTTTGATGTTCTTCTGTGGTGCAGTTTTGTAAGACCCAACAAACAAATGTATGGGTTTATTTTCTAATTTTAGAAGTCAACAGATTTCTTGTATACACTAAACCCGGGGGTTGTTCTTGCAATTATCCCTATTATATTTAGTTGGATTTTTCTATAATTTCTTTGAGTAACATCTCAGCAATGTCTAGTATCATAGTCAGGTGGACTGCAAAATTCCTTGACTTTACAGATGGCCCCTGAAGCTGGCAACAAGCCCCAGCCACTAATTAATTATTCTATAATCTCCAAGATGGAAAATCTCTGGTGAGAGCATTGCCCTTATCTGAGTTTTTTTTAAAGTTGGATTAAAACACATCTACATATAGTTTGAGGGATTTGGTTTGGCTACGGTTGATCCAACGGTCGGTTAATGCCTTCACCAGTAGGATCGAATTTACGTCCCATACAAGACACAAAAACTAGATCCATACAAACCAAATTCATGTGAGAAAAAAGTTCCTTCAAAACAAAACCAAATTCATGTGGGAAAAAGTTTCTTCAAAAGAAAAAGTCTCACGTTTTCTTCCTAGGTGGAGTTCTGTTTTAACTTTTATCCTCACTTACAAGAACCTTCCTTTCCCCTGCATTGCGGGTCAACATAGGATGCTGCAAAATAAACCTCAAACAACCTGTCCAAGAAGATGGTCACATTTTCTTGTAAAACCAAAAAAATGCAAATTCTCCAAGTAGTACCCCTCAAACCCAACAGCCTCATGCTCTTCACGCTACTCTCATGCCTCCTATGCATCACATCCCTTTACATCATCTTCCCAAACCCCACCCTAACAACCACGCGCCCCTCGCACGCCGAATCCCCATCGCCACCTCCCGAAACCTCCCTCGACCACCTCGTCTTCGGCATTGCCTCCAACGACAAGTCTTGGCCCAACCGCAAAAGCTACGTCCGTCTCTGGTGGCGGCCCCACCTCACGAGAGGCTGCGCTTTTCTCGAGACAAACGCCACCTCAACCGACCACTCGAACGAGCTCCCTCCCGTGTGCGTCTCGGGAGACACTTCCCGTTTTCGGTACACTTTCCGAAACGGGCTCCGATCGGCCGTGCGCGTGGCCCGAATCGTGGCCGAGACCGTCGCCCTAAACCACCCGAACGTGCGGTGGTTCGTGTTCGGGGACGACGACACGGTGTTTTTTCCCGAGAATTTGGCGAGGACTCTGTCGAAGTACAATCACGAGTTGTGGTACTATGTGGGGTCGAATTCCGAGAGCTTCACGCAAAACAAGGCTTTCTCCTTCGAGATGGCCTTTGGAGGGGCGGGTTTCGCGTTAAGCTACCCGCTTGCGAAGGTGTTGGCTAAGGTTTTCGACTCGTGTTTGGAAAGGTACCCGCACTTGTATGGTAGCGACGGCCGGGTGCAGGCTTGTGTGGCCGAGTTGGGGGTCGGCTTATCGCACGAGCCCGGGTTTCATCAGGTATCGATTTTTTTTTATACAACTTAGAGTATGTTTGGTAAATTTAGCTGAATAAGTTAGCTTATAAATGATAAGTTAATTTTGGGCTTATAGATAATAGCTGAAATGAAATTTATATCATTAGATGGACATTCGGGGGAGCATGTTCGGTTTCTTGGCCGCGCACCCCCTCCGACCCCTCGTCTCACTCCACCACTCGGAAGCAATGGAGCCTATTTTCCCAAACACGACCCATCTCCGAGCCTTGGAACACTTATTCCGGGCCGTGAAAGTCGACTCACAGAGGGTCGTTCAGCAAACGGTATGCTACGACCGTTGGTTCTCGTGGACTATTTCCGTCTCGTGGGGCTACGCGGTTCAGATTTTCCCGCGCCACGTGTCGTTGCCAGATGCCCTCCGGACCCAGGAAACGTACGTTCCCTGGAGAAGAGGAGGCTTAAACCACTTGTACAATGTGGACACGTTGGGGTACCACACGGATCCGTGTCGAAGGCCGGTAGTTTTTTACATGCACAACGTGTCGTCGTCTCGCGAAGATGGAGCGATAACGAGTGTTTATAGAATGGTGGGTTCTGAGAATTGCACGGTCGACCGGGCCTCGCCAAGAAAGCTCGAGGAGGTTCGAGTCTTTTCACGTAAGATGGAACTTGACTTCAAACAGGTACTTTTGTAAAAAATTGATATATAGTCGTTTTTTGGAATATTAGTTATTTAAACTATTAGACAGATAATTATTTACCAAACACTTATGTTGAATAAATTAGCTAATCTAATATTTATCTAGTCAAAGTTACTAATTCAATCAGTTATTCGCTATCAACTATTAGTTATCCACTATATACACTTAAGTGTGGCCAAAATCTTTTCCCCTAGCTATATTGACGTTATAGGACTAGATAACATTACTATTATCATGCGCCATATCATGAAAATTTGCACATTTTTATCATTCTTCTGGATTAAGTTTACGTGTAAAAAACATGCAGCTTCAAGCTCCGCGAAGACATTGTTGCGATGTTCTGCGTTCTAAAACTGAGACCGTGTTGGAAATTGCCATCCGAGAATGTGGTGATGAAGAGTTGATATATATGCATTGATGTAGTTGTATGTGTATTTATACTCTAGTTAATTTTCGGAGAGTAGTTTCTGAAAGAATCTGCTTCGTTCGGCTCAAAATATGGTTCAAATCGGCTGGTAACTAGTGGTTCTTGAAGAGAGTTTAGGCTTATCACTAGAGATGGACTTGGTTGGTTCACCTACGGACTACATTGTTGTCATATGTAGGTAGATTATGAGTACCATTATTATTATTTTCTTTCCCATTCGTTAAATATATATGCATCTTTCGGGTAGAGTACTACATCTAGGGGTGGCCAGTCCACGGGTCCGGGCCCGGCCCGGCCCGGCCCGCTGGGCCGACGGTCCGTTTGGACAAGGCCCGGGACCGAACCGGACATATGGACGGTCCGGGACCGGTTCACGGCCCGGACCCTCCAGTTCGTATAATCGGCGGTTTTATTTTAAAAAAACAAAACGTTACCAGCGGTCGGCCCGCGACCCGACCCAGCCCGGACCGGACCGCCGGGGCGAAAAAAAAAAAACATGAACCTGGACAGAACCACGACCCTTGCGGTTCGGTCCAATGGACCGGCCTGTATGTAGCCGGTTACGGGCCGGTTTGGGAGCGGTTCCCGGTCCGGCTCGCGGACCGGTTCGGAGCAGTTCGACGATTAGACGAGGCAGTTCGACGATTAGACGAGCCGGCTCGCTATACATTATGTGCATAAGTTATTTTTTAAAGTACGACATTTATGCATATTTGTTATCAAAAGTACATATGTTCAAAGTTAACAATCAGGTCTGTCTAACAACAACCACTACAAAAAAATTGTTATATTTCAACGAAAAATCCTATGGTAATATATTCTAATGGAAATTCCAACGGATATTCCAATGGTATAGCTTCCGTTGGAATCATTCCAACAGAAATTCCAACGAAAATATTCCGTTGGAATGTATTTTTCATTGGAATTTTAGATGGAATTTGATGATTCCAACGGCTATATTTCCAACAGTTTTTCACCGTAGGAATTTCCATTGGAATATGTAATTTCCGTTGAAATTTTTATTTTCACCACCGTTGGAAAATCTGCCGTTGGAATCGTCAAAATTCAACGGAAATTCCAATAGAAAATTCATTCCAACGGAATATTTTTGTTGGAATTATTCCAACGAAAATAATAGCATTGAAATATCCATTGGAATTGTCGTTGGAATTCTATTGAAATATTTTTGCGTTGGAATTTCATCATTTTCTTGCAGTGAACCTTACCAATATAATTGTAAGAGGAGCATTTACAATTTATAAGGAGAATTGAATTATTTTACAGTAAACTAGTTTAAAACTAAAAACCTTAGGGTGTGCAAGTTGAGCTAATCAATATTTGACATTGCAATTTGCATGCCCAAAAATTTGGTCATATATGTTGAGTGCTTATTAAGTTCCAGCATGTAGAAGTGACTTCAATAGTAATCAAATGAATTTTCAGATCACTCCCTACATTTTTTGCTAAGAGTTGTAAAACCTGATTCTTGGTTATGATGTGTTCATGTGGGAAAAAATTGTACCAAAGCAAAGCAATGTGCTCTGAAACTTTCGAGTTTTATAATTCTTTGTTTTATTTGCTCGGAAAATTATGGTACAAAATGGATGGGCTGCATAAATATGGCCCGAGATAGATAGATATGAATTATTTGTTTTATTTGTTTGGACTATTTGCTTTATTTGTTTGGACTATTTGCTTTATAAGGCATTCCAACAATTTGGGCATCTACTCGGCTTCATTAATATCAAATGCTGTCATCCATCTTCCTTGAATTATGAGTGTTTATTAAAATAATTATACTCAGAAATAATGTAGTAATGTGTTCATTCCAAAATTTCACAAGTTAAACTCAATTGCTTTTATCCAATACAGGTAGTTGTAATGTTACAGTACAACATATGAGTGTTCATTCAAGTAATTATACTTAAAAAATTTAAAAACTAATAATATAAGTATTTGTTTAAGAAATTTAATATTTTAAATTATATTATTATTCTATTTAAAATAACATTCGTCATTTGCAAGATTCGATTGTACAATATTTCTAGGTCATATGGCACAATATATCATTGAATGATAAATTTATTATTTTTCAGTTGCTATATATAAGTAATTTAATTTTTTATATAATATAATTATATATGTACATACAATATTGACATCAAATCAAATATCACCAAAATATGATCTTTAATATATAATACAAAAAAAATAATAACAAATAAAAAATGTTTTAAGTATTTAAAAGTCACCAGAATTTTACACTTATCGACACCAGTGCATTAGACCGATGTTTAAAAAAATTATATTTAAAAAATTCAAAACAATAAAATTACAAATCTTTGTTTGAATTTTTTAAATAAAAAATTTAAACTTGCATTTATAATTTATATATGTGAGAATATATATTTTTTTATATCGAATACGGATGCCATATGGGAAATTACCAAAGGAGGACTATTGGTATATATATAAAATAATAATAAGTAAACAATATTAAATTTTAAAATATATTTACAATTTAAGTTGTCTAAATCTATTATATTTTGAAAGTTTTAGTGGGGATGGTAGAAGTCGAACTCTACGTTAATTGCTTTGAACCACCATAATTTGACAAATAAATTATGATACGGAACTCAAAAAACTATATATTTATGTACGATACATTTAGTGGAGAAAATATTTCTCTCTTTTAATTTTATTATTTTGGACAATGTGAATCGATCCTGTGATCTACAATGTCAACATATTAACGCGTACGTGCACCAAACACTTATTCCGTCATATGCGGACTCGGACTGACAACTAATATTATTATTATTATTATCCTTTTTTTCCCTTTAGAAATTCAGTGTCAACTACTATTTTTTTTTTTCGAAACAGTACAGAGTGTCAACTAATATTCAATATTCAAATTATTATGTATTATGCCTTAACAAGCCTCATCTGCTGAAAAGGTAAACAAACTAATATTATGGCCAATAAAATTATGATAATGATTTGGTTCGGTATGCCTCGAAAGGTTCAATGTACATCTATATTCTTTTCATATGAAATATATATAAAAAACAATAACTACATATGCATCGATTCCTCTCTATGTATTAATTCATAATGTCCCGATCCTAATCTCTGGCGGTACGTAATCCATGTGTTTAGTTTAAAATAGTACTGGTAGATTTCAACTTTTCTCCGTATGAATGCATAACTTTTAAATTATAAAATAATTGACCAACGTAAATTATAGGCAAAATTGCATATAATATCACGACGTTTATCGCGATTGTAAATTAATCACGGCCTTTTAACTTTTGCACAAAATATCACGGCCTTCAATTTCTTGCAAAACGATACACGAACCTCATCAGCTGTTAAAAAAAAACTGACATGGCACCCAAAACGACACCTCAATTGCTAAGTTGTATTTACCATCCGATTTTTTTCCACCTCATCCCTAGACGGCGTCGTTTCGTCTGGCGTGGTAAATCTCGATTTTTTTTCCACCTCACACAGAAACGACATCGTTTCTCAGTCAATTAGATTATAAATTTGAATTAGTCGCATTTCACAATCCACAAGCTGCTTGAATGTGCAATGAACAGTAAGATATCTAGCTTTCATTTCCTACAGAAGATGTCTAAAACAAGCTAACCAAATTTTGTTCATCGACCCCCCATTCTTGTCTGATTTCCAACATAAAACACACAAAACCTCCATCCTTGTGAATCCTCAGAAAATACAAGCTACATACAAACAAAACACATCCTCTGTTCTATTAATTTTGTTCATCACTAAGAAGATCCTCATTCAGTTTGCTGAACATACAAACATAAATTACACTTCACTTAATTACCATTCGATATTTGCACCAGTAGTACCTCCTAGTCGGATTCAGATCAGTATGAGAGGTGAGAAGATCGGGCTCTTCTAAATGTCGACATGTTAATTTCGGAATTGCTGAAGTCGGGAATGTTGCTGCCGAACTTGTCCTCCTATATGAGTTGGAATCAGTCGACATAGTGTCGAAGTTGTCTTCTTAACTGAGCAATTGTCCCAATTTCTTCTATGGTTCTTCCTCAGAGCACTTTCTTCTGGGGTTCTTCCTTAAATTGTCAAATTAGGGTTCTTTCTCAACTGATTCAAATTTATAATCTAATTGACTGAGAAACGATGTCGTTTCTGTGTGAGGTGGAAAAAAAATCGAGATTTACCACGCCAGACAAAACGACGCCGTCTAGGGATGAGGTGGAAAAAAAAATTGGATGGTAAATACAACTCAGCAATTGAGGTGTCGTTTTAGATGCCACGTCAGTTTTTTTTAACAGCTAATGAGGTCCGTGTATCGTTTTGCAAGAAATTAAAGGCCGTGATATATTCTGTGTAAAAGTTGAAAGGTCGTGATTAATTTGCAATCGCGATAAAGGTCGTGATATTATATGCAATTTTGCCTAAATTATATTGTTGTCATATTTTCGTATATAATATATTTCATATTAATCATCTTTTTGACGATCTTCGATTTGATGTCCAAGTTATATATATAATATGTATATAATTTTATTTTTTAGTATAAAATCAAATCATTTATTAATAATCACTCTACTCCAACAATGAACTTTCACAAGAGTCAACCAAACATATATACCACCCCATTAATAAATCAAATTAACAAAGTATGTCTACCTGTAGCATGTACCAACTCAACACATTCAATTTGCTCCATAAACTAATAGTTACAGCTCAAATTCAATAATCAGTTGTTAAAATTAACAATCCAAATCCTCAGAAACACCCTGTCGTGTTGATATTAAATAAACTAATAAATAAATAAAACCCACCACAACACTTTCTCAATTCTATTTATATGTAGCATACACTATGTTATATGATAAGAACATAACAGCAAAAATGGCAATGATAAAAACACTATCAATGTTTTTTGCTGCTAATTATTTAGCCATTTTCATGTACCTCAACTTGGCCATGGCCGCAAATTACACAGTCGGAGGCCCGAACGGCGGTTGGGATCAATCCACCGACCTTGCAACTTGGGCTTCTTCAATAACCTTCTTAGAAGGAGACAATTTGCGTAAGTTATTTTCATTTTTCACGTATATATATATTCCCTTATTTCCTTTCTCGAACATTTAATGTACGGTTAAAAGAGTGTACGCTGATGTCAATGCTTACGCGCAGTTTTCGAGTTCACCACAAACCACGACGTCACGGAAGTTTCCCGGACGGACTTCGATTCCTGCAATCCAAATAGCCCCTTGCGGCCGCCTTTCACCGGCGGCTCCGCCACCGTGGCCCTCTCCTCCGCCGGCAGCCGCTACTTCATCTGCGGCACCCCCGGTCACTGCCTCGGCGGCATGAAACTCCAAGTCGACACCCACGCCGCCACCTCTCCGCCGCCGCAGACGGCCACCCCGTCGGCCCCGTCGCCGGCGCCGGTTTCCTCTCCACCGCCGAGAAGTCATGCTCCGTCGCCATCACCAAAGCATACGCACGGGCCAGCCGGCCGGCCCGCCTCGCCGCCTGCAGCCTCACCTCGCCGGCCCGCGTTGCCGCCTGCCGCCTCACCTCCGCCGAGCGGCGGCTCGTTGCTGGCGCCGGCGGCGGCTCCGTCTGCGGCGGGGAGGTTCAGTGCGATGGGTGCTCTCACAGCATGTTGCGGTTTTTTGGCTGTTATTGTGTTTTTGACTTTTTGAGATCCTTCTGATTTTTTAATTTTCCCATAATACACAATGTACTTGTGAGTTTATATTCCTTTTTGGAAATTCAAATTCTAATCCATTTATAATACATATGAATCTTTTTATATCCTTTTATGATCTTATAATTTATGAACGAGATTCTTGTCTGCTTTAATGAAATTGAACGAGCATTAGCATTTCAAGCTCGTGTTCGATTATGGTGATTTATTATCCGAATAAAACATTATATTCGAATTCATTCGTTTATTTGTCCATACAAGTTCGAGTTCATCATTTTTAATAATTTAATAAAAAACTTAATAAAAATATTCTTATTTGTGCGCTTCATCTGCGTGGTCCGCACCAGTTTTCCTCCCGTTTCTTATATAGTATCAGAGCCGGTTCTATGTGGGACCCTGCAATGACGTACTCGTTTCCCAGCCCGTTTTTAGTAGGACTTGGGCACCCGGCTCCGTATATTGGCTTGGGCTTCTTATGAAAGACTCACAAGTGAAGGGGCGTATTAGAATATTTACTTGTGAGTTGTCCCACATCGTTTATATAGGGAAAATAAGCCTAATTTATAAGTCAAATGGGCTACTCCTCCCACTAATTGGCTTTGGCCTTTCAGATGGAACCTCACTTGGGCTTCATCTGGGCTTTCCTTGCTTATGGTGGACTTCACGTACGTGGGACCACACCCATTTTCCCTACGTTTCTTACAAATGCGACCAATTTGTTCTGAATCGCTCAAGCTAAAAAAATAAATATTTTTTAGAATTAATACATATACTATTAAAAATAGGGAAATGCTATATGTACATAATATTGTACATAGGTGTGTACATAACACTCATTTTGAGTGGAACTTACAAAAAATAAAAAATCAAGTAGACCCCACTCCATATGATTGTTATGTACGCCTATATGTATATTTATTATCTACATGTAGCATTGTCCTTAAAAATATTATTACATACAAATATAAAAACAACAAGTTATATACTTAATTATTATCGAAGGTTTGTGAATATCCTCGTGTGTTTAGCTCGATTAATAGGTGAACGAGTTTAAGCCGATCTTGAATCACTTGTAATCGAATGTTGGGTTGATTCACACTAGTACAACATCGTGCTCGATTAATAGGTGAACGAGTTTAAGCCGATCTTGAATCACTTGTAATTGAATGTTGGGTTGATTCGCACTTGTACAACATCGTGATTAGACGGGAGCTAGTTAATATTTTATATTGAATTTAATATATATATATATATATGTGTGTGTGTGTGTGTGTGTTTTAAAAATCGCATATGTATAATGAATTTATATATAACTTTTTAAATTTATATGTAATTTTATTTATTTTAATAAATATCAATAGATAATTTAATTTTATAATAAAAAAATAAAATTATATATTTATTTTATATATTATATAGGGCGATAATAAATACAAGTTATTAACTTTTATATATATTTATAATTTTAATAGGTCTAATATTTTATTATTTTGAAAGTTCTAATATAAAAAAATGTATTCTTAAGTCTTGTTGGTTTAACCTCATAGCAATTTTAGTCTCAAGATTCAAACTTTTCGCCTTTTGATTATGTGATGTAACATTTTGCTGTAATTTCATCAATTTAGGACTCAAATTGCATCAAATCTTTGAATCACAAGACTTAGTTGTTACTCGAAAATCTTAGAATTTGAGAATTTGTTACGATTTCAGTCCTCATAGAACTGAAAATTGTAGCAAAATGTTAAATCATTAGGCTAAAAAGCGAAATGTTGGAACTTGCAGGAAGCTAAAATTATTATGATGTCAAACCAACAAGACTAAAAATGCAACTTTGCCTTATAACAGATATGGATAAAAATAATCGAGATTTACATTGATTACTTTGCACTAGAAATTGACATATACGATTATGAAACATCAAAACTCAACACATAGGATCGAGAAACACCAAAAATCAACACGTAGAATCAAAACATTTTGTATTTATATATAGGGCGATTTCTATATATGTGTGTAAAATGTACATCCTTGATCACATTACAGATGTTCAATATTGTTAATGGGTGCACAAGTTGGGCTTAAGATGGGCTTGTATAGAGTGGTACAGAGCTAGAGCCCATGCTGTTGATCCACAAACAAATTGCTAAGTTTGGTACTTAAAATTTTTATTATACTTGTTCTTGAGCCAACTTTTATTATCATATCTTTTCCAACGATTCTCAGTCTGTAGGTAAGTACAATATAATAGAAGGCATTCCCAATAAAAGCTGCCAGCTTATTATTATAGGGATGTAACTAATTTTGTCTTTTGCAGTAAGTACTTTGATACTAGAATTCGTAAGGCTATTAATTTGAGTCTCTATCTGCCTGTAATTAAATTGTACAGATTCTAATTTGAGTCTCTATCTGCCTGTAATTAAGTTACCAAATTTGAAGAGGTCAATGAGAATCTGTACAATTTACTCCTGCTAGTTTTTGGCTCTTCAATATTTTTTGCCATTTTAACTTTTCACTGTGTAATAATTGTACTGACATAGAGTTGTTAAAGGAAATAGTGAAATCGGCTCGGCTAGTTAATGCTTAAAAATATATTTTTATATAATATTATTATATAGTTTTGTTCGTTATGACTCGAGTTCGACTGGTTTACACAATTACACCTCTAATTCGAGGTTATGCAGATTGACTCAAAAGGTGGCCAACATTACCAGGTTCATGCATTTTAGCCCCAAACTTTTTACTAATTATTCATATTGAAAATCAAAATAAAACATGGGGAATTGGGAACTTGTTTTTAGTTTAGTAAAATTATTTCCATGGAAAAGTGTTGGAACGTTAATCAATACGAAACAGAACCCAGATAATAATAGAGAACACGCAAAACAATTTGAAATAAATTGTTTGGAATCNGAAATGGCCCATAAATTTTGCACATACATTAGAAATCAAACCAGTGTAAATTTATCACAAAATGATAATTTAGGGAAAAAAAATTATTTACTGAAAAAGATAGGAAAAATACAGAAAAAAAAAAAGAACAGGAAAACTATGATGCAACTATGAACTGCTCGCCGGACCAAGGGCCTCCGTCCCCGGGCTTGGAGGGTTAAATGGAGGCGGCGGAGAGAACGAAGCTACAGGCGGAGATGAGTCCGGGACGGTGGGGCCCGGCGGCGGAGGAGCTGGGCTCGGGTTAGTGGCGGAGTGAGGTGCAAAGGTGGACGGAGGAGTTGGATCGGAGGTGGGCCCAGGCAGAACCACTATCGGGGCGTCGCCGGAGGAAGAAGGGTAAGGGCATTGTGGGGATTTCGCTTGGCGCCAGAGATAGACGAACCCCATCGTAAGGCCGGTGGCCACAAGAAGTGTGACTATGAAGAAGAAGATCTTCGTCGCTTTTCCCACATAACACATTTTGTTCTTTTTCTTTTGTCTCACCTAATAGCTAAGAGTAACTAATGTAGTACTATATATTATGGGGGCTTTGGTAATTAATTTTGTAGAGTGACTAATATTAGATTTCTCCATTTGAGGTTGTACAATTTTCAAAAATTACATAGAGACATATAAATTATCTAACTTTGGTTTTTATGGATTTTTAATTTTTATAGGGCGTTGAAAAAGTATTAAAATTTAGAAATGTTCTAAATTAAAACTGATTAATCTAGATAAAAAGTTGGATACTAATAAAAACAAAATCGATCTGGGCAAGGAGGACTGATTTCGAAAAACATTTGGAGGCAAAATTGATTAAATAATAATGTTATTAGCGAGGGCTTGTATAAGATGTATGACGTTTCATAATAACAATATTTGTGTTATGGAACTTGTTTATTCTAACTTAAATTTAATGTTAGTCAATATGTTTGATTAAATATGATATGTTTAGCTTGTTAAAACAATAAACTTGAACTGTCCATTATTATGTAACTCTAGGATTGCCATGTTTGAATCCTCGATTTCAAACTAATTCAAATTTGTTACTTCAAAAAATTTTGTATAAAATTGTTGAAATGATTGCAAATTAATCGTTTGGTTCGCGATGGTGGTGTTGGCATGCGGTTGTAATAAACAGTGTCTTGGTTTTATAGGTCAAGTAGTTACTGCAAAGATGAAAAATAGTCACTTTGACAAACAGTGTCTTGGGGGTAGAGGGGCTCCATCGGTTTTTTATCTGGGCTTATAAGCTAGGACTCATTAAATATGAGGTTGTATAATTGTAAATAAAATTTACAATTTGATATGATTGTAAATAAAAATTAAAATTAATATATGTGCAGTTATTTATGAAGAGAACAAACAAAAAAAGAAAAATGAAAAACTCATAATTTTGGAAAAGGCTACAATCTCAGAACCAGTGTTTTTTAACCCGGACCGACCCGGTCGACCCGGAGCTGGAACCGGTCCGGGTGGGCTATTCGGACCGGGAAACAATGGACCCGGTCAAAACTTGGTCAACCCGACATTGACCCGGTCGACCCGGGGCATTGACCCGGCTGGGTCAACCCAGTTGACCCGGTCCTATATATTTTTTTATTATTTTTTTTATTTTTTAATATATTTTTTGTTTTTAAAAAATAAAACTATTTATATATATTTATATGGTATATATTTATCATAAAGTACATATTATTAGCACTTTAATGTGCAAATTTTATATACAAAATATTTAATTTTGTTATTTTTATGTATATTTATAAGACAAAATACTCTATATATAATTTAAAAAAATTTAAAATTAATTATCCGGTTCAGCAATTGACCCGATGACTTGAACCGGTGACTCGGTGACCCGGAGACCTGCCCGGGTCGATTCTCGGGCCGAGTTTAAAAACTATGCTCAGAACCATTTTTGTTAGAATTTTTAACGATTATAATTTTTAATCGTTAAATGCACACGCTACACTAACATTTAAAAATACCAAGAGAATGATTATTCCAATTAGTTTGACCGCCGAAGCTGATGGGCTCGAAACTATGCGAGTACAGCCCAAATTATGAAACCCATAAAATACTGTTCGGGAAAAAGAACCCAGCTGAGTGGATTGAGTGGATTCGAGATTATTTAATATATATACTCTCATTCAAATTAATGTGTATATTATTAAAAATAAAAATAAAATAAAAGTACTCTATACATATTACTCATTCCAACTTTTTTCATATTTTCATTTTTCACTAACACACTAACAAATAATAATAATTATTACAATATATTTTCTAATAAAACATAAAATTCACTCACTCGTGTAGTTTAGAGGGTCAATTACCAATTTACCATCAATTAATATTTTATTATTTTCATGTCACATAAATAATAATAATTATATTTATTTTCATATACAATCTTTAACTTCATGCTTTTTGGTAAAGAAGAAAAATATTACACTTTTTCGCCTCATTTTTTGAACACAATTTCTTAAAAATAATCTTATTTTCAATAAATTTTTATCATTAGGCGTAACTGAAATTAATTAAGATGGAGTCTTTCCAAATGACCAAATCTATTGAAGTCGATATCAGTAGTAAAAAGATGGAAGGAAAAATGAACGAAAGAAAGAAAGAAATAAAAAGAAGAAAAGTAGATATCAATCCTTTGGAATCTAAACTCTAAAATCGAATACACTTGAAATGTGTCACCGCGTATCTGTAAAACCTAATCACAAAGAGTCCCAAATTTCTCATCTTCATTCATTTTTTTTTTTTTCACCAAATATTTATCTCCGGCGACGTCAACAAAGGTGGCGATTCTTCAAATCGGTTTGAAGTTAGTATCTGTGTTAAATTTAACTTCCCGTTTGCTTGTAATCCACTTTTAATCTGGGCTTTCCTCTAAATCAATTTTGGAGCTGCAAATTGTCATCTTTGTGGTGAATTGTTTATTTGCAGAGTTGAAACTGCCATATATGTTTCTCGCTGATACAATTCTGATGATTTATGCCTGTAATTAAGCTATTTCGTAGTTCTATTGATTAGTTACAACTTACATCGCATATATTTTAGTTGCCGCTTAGTTTTCTGTGTTCTGATTTTGTAATTGCTTATCACGATCGACAGAAAAAAAAGTTTTGATTTTGTTGTGATCAATAGCACTGACAGATAAACCAATTTCCCAGTTCTCCATATTTTTAAAATTGTTCTTAACTTCTTCCTGTTGCTCCTTGTTTTTGGGGCAAAAAAAAAAGAAGAAAAAAAAGACTGCTGATTTTCTTTCTCTTCTGCTTTCTCTTGAAAACTGTTCAGATGGACCAAACCCTGGGCAGCTTCTTCCTGTGCGGCCAATGTGGGACCCACACGCGTCTCAACTCGTCTAACCTCTGCCTCAGATGCCGCCGCCTCATCCCCGACATAACAGCTCCCGTCCCAAAACATGTGGACCTCGCCTTCTGCCCACTATGCGACAGCTACAAGCACCCCCCCTCGTGGGCCCCCACCAATCTCCAGCCCAACGAGCTCCTCTCCTTCCTCGTCAAGAACCTGCGCGGCCCATCTGGGGCCCGCCTTGTCCACTCAGAGTTCATCTGGGCCGACTACCCACTCCCCAGATCCGTTCGCGTCAGGTTCACCTTCCGCAAGGAAGGCCTCGACGGGCTAACCGTGCAGGCCTGCACGGTTAGGTACGAAGTCCACGAGGAAGCCTGCTGGCCCTGCCTCCGGGCCCGTCTCGACCAAAACGGGCTATCGGGCCTGGTCCACATAGCCACCCAAGGCCCAAAAACCCTCCTCTCGTTGGAGCCGCTGCTCGACGCGGAGCGTCGAGCAGCGGCAGTCGAGCGTTGGGAAGGCCGCGCGACGTTTTTATTCGAGAAACGGGCCGACGCGCAGGACCTCGTGGCCCGTCTGCGCGGGTCGGCCTTGGCCCGGGTTGTTCGAGACGAGCTCTACGCGTCTAGAGTCAAAATTACGGAAATGCCCCTCCTAGTGTACGCGGCTTCAGTCGAGGTGAGTTCGATTCGGGTGGGGGACCTCGTATGCCTGCCGACTGGGACTTCGGCCCGTTTTGGGAATCTCGGCCCGTTTGTGATATGCGACGAAGTGGGTGGGGATTCGGTGGCTTTTCTCGACCCGCTCGACTCGAGACGCGGGTTTTTGGACGCGGACAAGTATTGGAGATTGCCCTTTCGGGCTGTGATGTCGAGGGAGGATCTTGTGGAGTATGTGGTTTTGGAAGTGGAAGATGTGTTTATGGACTACCGGTCGAGGAAGTATGTGGCGGAAGTCCGCGTGGCGCCTTTTTCGGGGTCGGGAGAAATCGAGATGAGCTTTGATGTGAAGACGCATTTGGGGAATGATTTGAAGGAAGGGGATTATGTGCTCGGTTACGATTTGCTTGGGGCGGGTGTTTTGGATAGGTATAGAGGTGTTGATGTGCCGAATGTTGTGCTTGTGAGAAAGAGCGACCGGGTAGAGAAGAATCCGGAAGAGAAAGATGAAGGTAAGAGCGATGGGGAAGAGGAGAACAAATCTGAAGAGGAAGGTGAAGGTGAAGGTGAAGGTGAGAATTTGTGATACTTTTTGTCTGATATATGAATTTTGGAGTGAGGAGATCTTGGTGAAGTTAGGAGGAGAATACTTTATAGTTAGTGTTTTTGCCTTTTTAAGGAGTTGTGTTAGTTTGGTGTAGATATCTTTTCAAGTTTCTGACCATTTTAGACTCTGCAGTCTGAGCCTTCAACTTTTTATCTATTTGAAGTGAACTTTTGTTTCTCAGAATTTGAGTAGGTTTGGCTCTTGGGATTATAATGTTTATCGATATTCGTTTGTTTGTTATTTAAAGTACTCGAACCATTTTTGACTTCAATCTATAATCTGTCGAGCGATTGAGAGGTGGAGTCGAACTATATAGCTCGGGATTCTTGATAAAGCTGTTGAGAGGCAAGATTTATTGAGATTTCAGAGGTCATTAGCTAGTTATTTTGTGTTCATATTTAGGAATTGGCAGTGTTTGTTAAAGGATTCTTGACATGCGTATCTAAATAAGACAGATTCATAGCTATTATCTTGCGTTAACAGATAAAGTCCGGATAACTCCAATTCATGAGTTGTCACAAATGTAGCACCTTAGCTATTAAACAGATATTAGTAGCACCTTAGCTGTAATAAACAAATGTTGGGAGCAATCTTTAGTCAGCTCCTTAGAGATGTTCTTAAATATATA